TAGTATTGTGTTGAGTTCTTTATTAAATCTTTATTTTTTTTTTTTTTTTTTAACGATGCGTTGAAAATGAAACAACGGTTAACACAATCCCCTAACAAAAGCTACACTACATACGTCCGCCCTAAGAGCCTGTAGAATTTGGTGGGGGGGAGGGACCACAAATTCCACAAAGTTGTTCTGTTGTTACTCGTTTATGTTTACTAGAGTCTCTACGCATTGGTTTCCCTCTCGCAAGGTGTGGGCGATTGGGATCTGGTGGACAGCCATCAGGTGTTTGCACTTAGAAAATCAAAGCCTTGAGAGGGTGGTCAAGGTTGAAGGCCTCCATGGAATCGGTCTCAAAGAAACTTTATCACTTGAAGCATTAGTCTTCTAATATTTGAGAACTAGTAATTGTCTGTGTTTGAAGGCACAAAATAATAAATAATAAATATATTTGTACTCACACTTAAAATCAAATCACAAACATAGAGAAAAAAGAAAAAATTTTAAGCAACGATTATAATGAGAGTGAATAGTGGTAATGGTGGTGGGGGTGGGGGCGGTGACGGTGGTGACGGGAGGTGGTGGAGTGGTGGCGACAGGTGGTGGTTTCAAATTTTTTTTTTTTAAAGTACGTATAAAAAATTATAAGTTGTAGAAGTATTTTTAAAAAGTTATCTCAAACTCATTCTTATGGATCTCTTTTCCCTATTAAATTTGGAGTGTTAACATTAACCGTTGGATGAACTTTAAAGTAAATTTAAAGTGATTTCAACAACGAAAAATAAAAATTATTTTATTTATCTTTTAAATTTTGAATTGAATTATACTTTATTATATAAATGACAAAGGAATCTCTAAAAGTTGTAGGCCCATCCTATGACCCAATGGGCCATGAAAGGCTGTCACAGGACTGGGCAATGCGTGAATAGCCCATTAGCCCGACTAGCAAGATCAGGAGCCTTACTTTTGTTTTGTTTTGTCCCGATAAGGAAGGTCCAAGATAACCCAACCCATCAGCCTCACAAATAGGATATCTCTTACGTTACACGTGTGGAAGTTTCGTATTGAACTTTCATCATTCGGTCTTAATTCCACCCGTGGGTTATAAATTGGTTTATTTTACCCTTTTGAATCATCACAGTTAAAAAAAATAAAAAAAAAAAGAAAAAAAAATTTCAGCCACACCCCCTCATAATTTATTATATTTCAAGGATATCTCCTTTAATTTTTAAAATTTCATTCATAACTCTTTTTAGATAGATATATCTTCAATGAGACCTTCTCTATTTTATGAATTTTTTTAAGTATTAAAATTTGGATCGATTAAAATTCGATTCGAGTCAATTAAAATTTGTTTTTAACTGACTCGAATCAATTTTTAATCAATTTATATTGAATTTTAATTGGCCAAAAGTTTGATACATAAAAAAATATAAATTTTAATCCACTTAAATTTTAATAAGTAAAAAATAAATTTTAATCAACTTGAATTGATTTTTAATTGACACAAATTTTAATAAGTAAAAAATATAAATTTTAATCGAATTGAACTTTAATTGGTGCTAACAACTCATGTTGAACTCAAATCTACTTGAAGTTTAATACATAAATTTTTTTTAATAAGCTCGAATTTTAATACTTAAAAAAAACTTTAATTAGCTTAAATTTTAATATATAAAAAAAAATAAGAATTTTAATATGTAAAAAAATAAATTTTAATCGGCTTCGATTTTTAATCGAATTTTATGTAGAATGATTGTTTGAGATTCATATATAGGGACAATTTTATTATTGATGAATTTTTTTTTATGCTAGAAATAGTGATTTAATGGCAGATGATGTCAGTGATGTTTAAATATAAACTAAAAAGAATGTTAGTGGTATTTTGGATAATATAAGAGGGGTTCTTAAAAATATGAAAAACTAAAAACGATGTCACTGAATTTTTTCAAAAAATAATAAAAAACGTGTTTAATCATCAGACACGATCCAAAAATCTCGGTGATAAGAAAACATAGAAGATGGTCATTCTCGTACGCTTTCTGGGTTGTTCCAGTCAAGCTCTTCTGTCAAAAGAACAATTTCGAACAAAATTTTGATGAACCTCAACAATCTAAATCCGAATTCATTTAAAAATTTTCAATTTTCATTTTGATGAGTTTTATTTTCATATTGTATCTCGAAATCCGTTAAAAGTTAACAAATTGATATATAAATTTGATCCTATTTGAATAACTAAATTTTAGTAAATTATATATATAATATTCAATTTAAGATTATCAAATAATCACTCAATTTTATTTTATATATATATATATAAGTACACCGAATTTGTGCTATGAATCAAAATTTTTATTCTCGATTCAACTTTATTGAATTCGAATTGGTCCCCCTCTACACATCATTATTTACGCTCATTCTTTATCTCTTTTTTTTCTTTCATTTTTTAGAGTCACAGCTTACTTGTATTTCGACTAATTCTTTTTTTAATTCGGTTAAAAGCAGATCATCCACACCTGTACTAGGGCATTTATGAGAAATAAATGTCTCACGATCTTGTCTCAAGAGGTTACCAACTTAAGAAAACATTTGAGTTCATAACTCGTCTCTATTACCACTTAAATTATCCTTAATTTTATACATGGAAAAGCCTATCTCTTTGGTTAAGTATACATTGGACAAGAGAGTACAGCCATGAAATAAAGACAAGGTGGCCATTCTAATACAAGAAGAAACAAGGCATGTGCCTGAAAAAGAACAAAAAGTTGGAAAAAAGATTCATCTTTAACCATTCAATGTACCTATCACTTAAGCAGATAGTTTAATAATCATACTTTAAAATCTCTATCATTGGTATATAATTTAATAAATTTAGTAATAATAAATCAAAGACTATATCCCTGCATAATGAAATTATTGTCTCCATACAGAATGTTTCTGAAGAGATGTGGGCTGGTACCCACATGATCATCAAGTGGGAGATGAGACAAGGTCTTGAAAATCATGTACAAGATCTTGAAAATCAACCTTTTCGATGCTTTCGGCTTAACAAAATAGTGTAATAAAATCGTGTATTCAGAATTTGATCATGTAATTTAGTACAAGGTGCGGCAACTGAATCATGATTGCTTCTTGTTGGGCTAAACTTTTAAGTGTATAGTTCGTTCCCAACTTCAAAGGCATTAGATTCATTCGAGTCCAAAAAACCGTGAGATCAAATTCGTGAATGTTTTTGTGAACTCTGAGGTGTTGTTTAGGATGATGCAATCGAATCTTGATCACAAGACTAGATGTTGGGTTGAACTTCAGTGTGTTAGTTGGTCCAATCTTGAGAGGATTTGGATTCTTTAATATCCTAAAACAGTTGGGTAATCACACATCATTTTCTTTGATGCTTTTTTTAATCTTCGATAATAATTGTTATGCACACTTCGACTAATCTCCTCTCTGATCTGATTAAAGACGGGTGAAAATTGGGATATTCATGAGGGAGTTATCAAAATTTAAATTTAAGATATTTGAGTTTAAAACTTGTCTCTATTACCGCTCGAGCTATTTGTAATTTTGGCCAATCTTCAACAATGGGAAATATTGAGAGAGAGGGGGGTATGTTGATACAAATCCACCAACTGGTTAATTAAGAATTAGATGGGTTAATTGAAAAAGATAGGAAAATGGACCCACCATAGCCAAGTGTTCCAATAAGCCAAAACTTTTAGTCAAATGAGTAGCATATACACATACCATGTGATTGCCAACTAATCTTTTACATTATCAAAACACATACATTTAATGCTGAAGCCATTATTCATTCCTCATAGTCAAACATGGCATCATCCCTCATTAATCACAGCGTTCATTGTTCTAAAACCACACGATTCAAGAGGCAGAAACCAGTCAACTGTAGGGTCCTGTATACAAATGACAGCAATCCATCCTCGATCCACATCGAATAAGAGACAAGACGTAAATTTGAATTTCCTAAGCTCAAATCCTTTTACCGATGATACACGTAACTAATAGGTGATTCCATGATTCAAAGTTTGAAAAACATAGTGATTGAGACAATTTTTTATTACCAAAAAAGAAAAAGGAAAAGAAAGCATGCTGATCAACAAAGGTAGACATCAGTTAAACTTTGTCATTTACTGACATGTCTGTCCACCAACTACCATCCCATTCTCTTCTTCACATTCCATTGGTGTAAAGGCTTTGTGGGACCCAATTACTGTGAATGTGACAAATAAAAGAAGAAGAGGTGGGATGACTTCTTAAATGGTCTTAGTATAAAGGACCTTGGATCATGAACTGGCTATAAAGGACAGCAAATACTCCTGCAGCCTCATGGGGCTCCCATCCCAAGTAGTCTCATTCCCCATTGTCAGGGACCCACAGCCCCCACAATGACTTCAATGGTAAAACCCAAAGACCAAAATAGACTCTTCCCTTTCAAGTGGACAACTTCCCCCACCCTGAAATCAGTAGTTTATACTGATTCTGCATGTTCTTGACCCTATATTTCACATGGTTTCTGATATACTCCCCTCCTCCAATCACCACCATCTCAAAAATTACCAAAATATCCTAGCTCACTTTATCAGAAAGAGAATACTTCAGAGGATGAAAAGGGGATATATGTAACAAGGGTTTTATCAGTAGGTAAGGAATCTACAAAATTAATCTTGTAAGAAGGTGGCAGGTGGCTTCACTGAGTGAGTTTCCTCTCTGTTTCTTTTCCCCATCACTTGAAGGCAATTTATAATCTATAATATAAAACAGGATATGCTTCAATAAGTTCATTCGAAAGTCTCAAATACACTCATTCAACTGCCATCAACATCCCTCTCAAAATCATTCTGCCATCAACATCTCTCTCAAAATCATTCACATTGCATTGTGTCTTTAGGCCCGAATTACCCCTAGTTTTCTAATAAACAAACTACAAATTGATAATACAGTTCATATTATCAGAATGGTGATTAGAGCATGGAAGTGACAATAAAACAGTAAGAGATAAGTCTGTCAGAAAAGAAATAAGCAGCAATTATGTTCTGATTCAATAATGAAGATCACAATTGTGTTGAAAGCTACTGATCATTAACATTTATAGGGAGTTACAGAGAGGAAGAGAGAGAAGAAAGGGAGATCTCTACTATCTCTTGTTGCTTTCTTCTTGATCTGGGCTTTTGTAAAACAATGGCAGTTTAGAAGCTAGTGACAGAGATGGGGAAGGCAGGCAAGTGGTTAAGAAACTTCCTGACAGGAAAGAAAGAAAAAGAGAAAGAGAAAGAGAAAGAGAGAGAGAAGAATACAAGCAATCAGCAAATATCTCTTGGAGCTGAAAATCCAACAACACCCATTACAATCCCACCGACAACTCCCAAAGAAAAACGGAGATGGAGCTTCCGGAGATCATCAGCCACAGCACCGGGTCAAAAGGACACGAACTCTACAGACACCATTGCCACAATACCGCCTTCACAGGCGGTTTTTGAAGCAGAGAATGACCAGAAGAAGCATGCCTTGGCAGTTGCGGCAGCCACGGCTGCCGCTGCGGATGCAGCCGTGGCTGCAGCACAGGCGGCTGCGGCCATGATCCGTCTAACTGTGGCAGCGACTGAGAGAGCCAATGCAGTAGAAGAAGCTGCGGCCATAAAGATTCAGTCTGTCTTTCGTGCTCATCTGGTATGCAATTCTTTTAACTGATTCTCCCCTTTTTTTCCATTTCTTCTTTTCTTTTGGCTGAAAAAAGGGTAGTCTCACTTGGGGTCTGGGAAAGATCAAATATTGGCACCCTTACCTCGTATGTGGAGAGGTTATTTCTATGACTTGAATTTGTAACACCCAGATCACGAGCAACCTTACTGATGTGCTGCCAACTGGTAAGACACATAACTGTTCCATTGGTGTTGTCAACAGGCAAGAAAAGCTCTGAATGCATTGAAAGGACTGGTGAAGTTGCAGGCACTAGTAAGGGGTCATCTGGTGAGAAAACAGGCCACAATGACACTCCGGTGCATGCAGGCATTGGTAACAGTTCAGGCTCGAGCTAGAGCTCAAAGAATCCGGATGGCTGAAGAAGTAAACCCCTATAGCCAGAGGCAATTTAATCACAGAAAATCCACACAGGACAATAGGTTCAAGCACTCTCATTATGTAAGTCTCAATTATCTTTCAAGACCCATAAAATTTACAATCTATATATCCTTAAGAGCCATCAGAGTAAACAGTTTTCTGCAAGCTAGTCACATAAATGATGAGAATCCAATTTCCTGATACCCCAGGGATTGAAGATATTTTCATACAACAAAATTTCTTTACAACATGAGTTTGGTTAAAGAAATGTTGGGTTACCCACAAATTTCATTTCAGTAATGAATCAAAAACCCTTAATTTTGTCCTAAATATGCATATAATTTGGATCGGGTCATTACCGGATCAGATAAGTATATGTCCAAATCCGATCAATTGAAACATGATACAAAGGATTTGGGCGAATAATTATAATACATATCCGACTAATTAAATTCTCATTCACATCAGATTAGAATCAAATCCGATACCCTAGTAGGCCTAGGTGTGGCAGAGAAGTTTTATACATGATATGCTGTAATGCATAGTAGATTCTTGAGCTGATGATATCTGCAATTTGTTCATTGCACATACAGGACTTCGATAGGGGTATGGAGGAGAACATTAAGATTGTGGAGATGGATCTTGGTGATTCAAAGGGAAGTACAAAAAGCAGAAATAGCTATTCAAGCCAAGCACAAACAGAAAGAATAGAGCATAGATTTTCCACACATTCTGCACCCAATCGAGCATACCCAAAACCAGACCACCAACAGATCTCACCATCACCATCAGCCATAACTGACCTTAGCCCAAGAGCTTCCAGTGGCCATTTTGAGGAATTCTCCTTTGGCACAGCACAGAGCAGCCCTCAGTACTACTCTGCTATGTCCAAACCCGATCCTCAGGCTGAGTATGCAGAATCCCTCTACAATGAGTATCCATTCTATCCTAGTTATATGGCCAACACAGAATCTTCAAGAGCAAAAGCCCGGTCACAAAGCGCGCCAAAGTCACGACCAGATGCATTTGAGAGGCAACCAAGCAGGCGGAGGCCATCGATAGAAGGAAGGAACGTTCCAAGGGCGGTGCGGATGCAGCGATCATCTTCACATGTTGGTTCTGCTGCTCAGAATTACCATTATCCATGGTCAATCAAGCTGGATAGATCATCTGTTTCGCTTAAAGACAGTGAATGTGGATCCACCAGCACGGTCCTAACCAACAACAATTACTGCAAATCTGTTGTTGGCTTTGATGTGAGTAAAATGACTTATAATTCCCAGTGATTGAATGTATTATACAGTAGTTTTGGTTGACATTAGCTGAGTTTTAACATATGCTTGCTTCATTTGTTGCCATTTTTGATTGCAGATTCAAGGGAATAGGTTCTAGTCCAGTGTGCAACAAAATAAAGTATATCAAAGGCTAAACAACTAATACAAGATTCGGGGGAATGATCAAGGCAGGGAAGTGCTGAAAGTATAACCTGGCAAATAATTCTGACCTTTTTTTTTATTTGTTTTTTCCTTTTTATTTTGATGTCTTGACTTGGGAGCATTGTTTTGAAGCACCCTGTTTGAAGAGTTGGGGTTTCTGTGTTTTGTTCTTATTTACTTGACTGCTGAATTTAAACAGTGTTCCTAAGCCTACTGGATTGCAAGCACTACAAGAAGTTTATAGAGATTTATTGAGTGTGGGATTTTCAACCTCAGAAGATTGTCCGATTATAAGTCCAATAATGTTGATTACTTAACAGCAAATTTCTCTAGAAACTTCGTAAATTAAGGAAAATTTTCACTCAGATCACAGAAAAGGAAAGCAAAAACTCTCTTCTCATGTTTTCTTGTTAGGTAGGTACATGGTTCAGAAGTACATGCATTTTTCATCAAGAGTTTCTTTATCACAAGGTGCTTTAGAATGAACGGTAGAAGGCATTATTTTGCTGTGCATGATATTGATATCCATCTCTCTAACTTTAGACTAACAATTGAAGTGTGTCAACCGACTCAATGTCATATCATATTCACTTCGTCTCATATTTTTTTGGGTCATTTTCATTTTCTTGCAACCCAACCACCAAGAATCCGAATCTATGGAGTAATCAGTCCTAACAAGCAGCAGTTTTATAACAAAAACTGATGGATAGAAAGCTGTTATTTGATCACATGTAAGTATGTCAACAAATAGCTTCCAGAAAACTCGGTATCGCGCATCAACATCTTTGCACAACAAATTTTCAGCTACTTTCCGCATCAAATTGATCTAAAAAGGTCGGATTCAATTCAATCAGTACTTGAAACTTTTCCTTTTGACAGTGCGTTCTAGGCACTTTTTTGTTTTTGTCTTTTTTTACTGATACATTTCTGAGCAAACAAGCGGAGTAAAAAAGAAAACATTTTTCCCAAAACCAAGGTAAACCATTCTGAGGAAATCACAAATCAAAGCCATACGTTCTAAGTCGCACAACCATATTACAAAGCGAATTAAATTGAAATAAATATTCAAACTTGAACTAAAGAATTACAGCACAGTGAAAACATAAATGCAAACAAACATACCCCCCCTCCCCCCAACACACACACACAAATGTAGCTGTAGAGGGTAGAGTTAGAAAGGTCTTGCTTGATAGCCTGAGTGTAGACAGCAATAACTTTGAGATAATTTCCAGCTTTGAAGAATTCATTGCCCTGATCTTTCAGTGAAAACTCTCTGTTGATTCCCCCATTTTTGCGTTTAAATTTCTATATTTTTATATGGGTGTTGCACGGAATAATTCTTGCAATAGTATAAGACAACGATCTTCAAGCTGACGAATCTGAAACAATAGGGTCAGAAAAAAGGGGGCCAGGCGAACGTCCGGCTAATCCCATCTGAAGCTTAAGTCAGTATAAAGTCGAAGGGTTTTGCTCAATGGACTATTTTTCTGATTCAAGTTTGCGTACCTTTGTCTATTTTTTTGAGGAGTATTTATACCTGAACTAGTAATGATTGTTAAAGGTCTTCAGTCTCATTTGAACATCTTACATCTGACACACCATTTCTCGTGCAATGAATGTTTTCTACTCACGTCTCCTCCTATTGAATGTTAAGAAAATGGGGTAAATACTCGGCCAAATGCCGAGCATTTATGCCACTCCCCGAGTACCCAAGTCCCCCAGATCGGCATCCGACATCAACTAAGCATTGAATACTCGGGGGGAACAGTTTCTCGGGGGAGCCGATCGCGTCATCTCGGTGCATCAGCCATTAATGCTTAACCATCATGACAGTAGGCTTAGACTCTTAGAGGGCAGGTGCTGGTAGGCTCATATATATTTGTCTTGTCACTTTCACTCATTCCGCCATAAATGAGGGGTCGCATCACATTAAATACGATGCCAGCTGTCGTACTCGGTTGCTCAATGTCACTATACCTCGGCTTACTTCCTCAGCGCCCTTTGGACATCCCAACGGCTTCATTATTCCATGTGTCGACCCGGGGGCTGTAGAGCCACCTAGAGTCCCGCCAACTGCCCCCCAGCCGTCATCCTTATCGCAGTGTAAGACAAGTGGCGTAAAGGGATTGGGGGCTCCCTCATCACGCCTTATTAATAGCGACAGTTACTTTCACGTCTGGTGCCGCCCTTTTCAAACGCCCTAATGATGACCCAACTTTTCGATTCCCGCTCCCTGTGAGGCAGTATAAATAGAAGGTTTTCATAACTTCTCAGAACTTTTACATCCTCAACCTCTCTTTAGCAATCAGACCCCGAGTGCTCCTCTATTCTCCTCTGAGTTTCCTTCGTCCTCCGAACTCTCTCTTTGAAGACCACTTTCCTGTAAGTACTTCCACTTGAGCTTTTTCTCTCTTCATTTCCTCTACATTTCGTCCTTTTAGCGCCCACCAATGGCTAGAACTAGTAGAACCAGGGGGGAGACGTCTGTTAGGGCTAGGACTACTCACAAGATGAGGAGAACCCAAGTGACCGATGAGAATATTCAAGCCTTTAGGGTTAGGTACCACATTTGTGAGCCTGTCTTCGCTTTCTCCTTCAACCCCACTTACCATAGGAGGGATATGGGAAATATGGACATGATGTCTTTCTGGACGAATGTCATCATGGAGGGAGGGTTGACCTTCCCCCTCCATCCCCTATTGCTGGGAGTGTTGATACAACTGAAGCTCTTTCCCCTTCAATGTGGAGTTAACTTCTTTAGGATTGTGATGGGCTTAGTCGCCTTAAACGCTTGGCTGGGGACCAACTTAGGAGTAGATGAAATTTTATTCTGCTACAACCTAAGGCTAGTCGCCGGGGGGCGATATTACCTCCAGGCTCGAGACGCCTCAATGTATCTGGTAACCCACATGCCCGACTCGAACAAGGGGTATGTAGACGATCTGATCATGCTTGGCAAAAGTTGGGAGAAAGGGACTGGGCCCAAGTATGACAGATTTTACTGCCCCAAAGTGCCAAGGGATGAAGGTGTGTTTTCTTTCTGACTTCTTGATTTTGCTATTCTTGGGTCTGAGGGATGCACTGATTTTGCTTTGCTTTTACAGAAGGATATCGCTGGGACGCCGCTCAATCGTTGAGGTCCTAAGTCCGGTTTGCCGACCTACTAAGGGTTTGGTCCTCGGACCCAATTGAGCGAGCGGCGCATACTCTCCTTGGCTACACGCCGACTTATAGCCGATTCTCCCAGATCCCACCTTTTTTTCAACCCTTTTGTTTGGGAAGACTATTCCTCGTCGGAAGAGGAAGAATTCGAGGGAGATTCCGAAGAAGAGTCTGATTATCATGCTCCCGAACCCCCTTGCGCCTAACATGTTTAATCCGTCACCAGTCACCGCTGCTACAATGGTGGCCACCGCCGCGATAAGGAAAGTCAGGTCATTGGGCTGGCCGGGCCTTCCAACACTGCCCCCATCATCCCCCCGCCTAGTTCTCCTCGGAGGCAACCACCGCGTACGCAACCATCTAGGGACCAGACTGTGCCGACCAGACAAAGGCCCCAATCTCAACAAATCCCCGCTCCAGGAGATCGGTTGAGGGATAGGCGTGCCCGGGATGCCGAACAATCTGAGGAGCGCCGTGTTAAGCGGCAGCATGACGCCCCGGCCCTGGGCCCATCTGTCTCGGGCGAGTGGGTCCCTCCGGCCGAGACCAGGAGCGACCGCCCTGTTTTGAAAGCCGACTCGATCCTCCTGTCCCCCGAAGTGGCCTTTTTCGTCGTGGGGACGCTTCAATTTGATGCCGATATGGTTGTGTACAAAGGTTACTCGGACAATCGACTTCTGATGAACACTATCCAAAACAACTTGTTGGTAAGTTTAACACTTTTTCGAGTATTCCTCACACCCTTTTGGTTGTTCCGTAATATTCCTCCTTTTCCAAGCCAACCAGTAGGTGGGAGCCATAATCGAACATTTTTTGGAATATAAACAAGAGGCGAAGAACGCCGAGCGAGCCGTAGCTGCTAAGGACGACCACATCCTTAAGGTCGAGAGGACCCTCGGCGACCAAACCAAGCACATCGTCGAGCTCATCCGGTACCGAGATGCGGTTCATGTCGACCTGAAAAAGACCAAGGCGGGTGAAGTTACGGTGATAAAGAAGGCCGAGGAGTACGAGCTGCGAGTGTCCTCCTCCGAAGCCAAGCTGCAAGAGTCCGAGTCTGTAATCAACGCTCTTACTGCCAAAGTGGACTCCTTGACAACAGAGAAGGCGGGGGAGCAGGAAAGGCTACAATCGGAATGTCAAAGGGTGTGGGCGGCCACTCAAGACCAAATGGTCCCTACTTTTGAGGAAGCCAAAAAGAAGGCTTTCAAAGAAGGTTAGGACGCTGCCCTTCATGCCTGCCACGTCGAGGTAGGCTCGGACTTGTTCGTCATGCACAGCCTTCGAAGGGAGGCCGATGACAAACCCCTGGACGAACAGGTCTGATTCGACCTAAGTGACCACGGGAGAAGGGCCGATCGGGGCCGAAGGTGGGAACGATCCCATCACACTCAGCAACGATTCTGTCCAGCCTTCTCCTGCCCTTTCGTTTTTACCACCTGCCGAGCCAACATATGATCTTCTCCCTCCGCCCCCAATCATTACTGAGGTGTATGATACCGAGCTAGATGAGATATTGGGGGTCGGAGATGAGCTACAAAGGTGGCGTGGAGGCCTCGACGGGGGAAGAGCCGGGGAGGAATAAGCCGAGGGCCTTAGCAGCTGGTGGCCTGTCACTTCTATGTCCCGTATTTGTTTTGTAGCTCTTCTTTGTACAAAATTTAGTTACTGCTTGTATGCTTGGGGACGCAAAGCCCCTTTTTGATCGCAATGAACTTCATTTTTCTACACATGTCTTTTCTTTCCTGCATCAGTCGTGTTTCAAGGAAATGGTCTTGACGTTACGTCAATAAGGACCTTCTGAAGTAGCAAGCCTTCAAGTCGAATTCATAAAAGAATACTCGTCGAACTTGCTGTTGTCTTTGGACCTCTCGGGATCGAGTATATATAGGGGTGGAATCTTACACCCCTCGGGGCCGTACCCCTAATGACCGAGCGCGTGAGTCGTGTTAGTAATTTGAAGGCGTTGCTCCAAGGGTGGAGTCTTACACTCCTCAGGGCTGTACCCCTAACGACCAAGCGCCTGGCTCATGTTAGTAATTTGAATACACCCCTCCGGGCCGTACCCCTAACGACCAAGTACCA